TCTTTTGGATTGTTACATGGTTCGTTGAACGGTACCAAGCGACAATTCATATGCTAAACATTGGTTTTTACATCCTACAGAAGATAACAAATGAGTAATGACGTGTGTCCATGGGGTACAAGTTCAACTTACATAATGTGACTTTATTGAGTCGAACATATGGGCTCTTCGGAGTAGAAACGAAAAGTCTAGCGGATACCACAAAAGGAGGCAATACCCAAACAATCACAATTGATATGGTCACTAGAAGAGGGGAGTGCAATTGGTGAAAGTTTCAAGAGAGACACTTGTCTTGCTCTCATGCTTATACGCTTCCAAAAGCGTTCACATGGACCCACTATCATTTGTTAGTCCATGCTACATGACTCAATATGTCGTCAAAGTTTGGGAAGGTCATTCGTGCCTTTAGCTCACGAAGTTTATTGGCCTGAGTATGATGCACAAGTAGTCTTCCCTCCCGAGAATATAAAGCCATTCAAAGGTTGACCTAGAGTATTCAAGATTCCAAATGAGATGGATAGATCAGGGAGACGTCAACAATCTCCAAATCGGTGCCCCGTATGTCAAGTTGAAGGGCATGTTAGACGTCATTGCCCAGGACCAACAGCTAACAAAATGATATTTATGTTTGTTGTTTCACCGAGAATATGTTGTTTTAACAAGAATATGTTGCATTTTTTGTTCTTAAAAAAATGTTGTTGTTTTTATGACTATGTTACGTTTATATTTATGTGAATGAATGCTACGATTTTATGTCATGCTTGTGTTTATCTATATGAATTTGGATGCTTATTTTTTCTGCGTTGATGTTTATGTTTCAATGCCCATATGATGATTATTTTTGTTTATCTAGTACGAATGCTTCTTTATCAATGATGCTTGAGATTTTATAGTATGCTACTATATGCATTGTGCTTAGTATTACCTAGATTTATAAGAAATTATCCTCTAGTGCTATCCTATTGATGATACACGAGTATAGTGGGAATGATCAACCATCTATACCTTGAGTAGTATCAATGCTTGATTGTTAGACCATCGATGCTATAGACTATTGATTATGGATCATAGAAGCCCACACTTAATCATGCACTATCAATAATTCATTATTCTTTATTAATTAGGTGATGGCATGAAAGGAATTAAGGAAAGCACACATTAGCTAGTTAAATATATATCACAATAGGTGCATGCACGGATAGATAATGACTTTAGTGGAAGGGTTAGAGTGATGCTATAGATGAATCATTGATGCATGATTTGATTGAGCCCTAGTATGCATTATAGTACTCGAATTAGCTTTCTTCTACAATAACGTATCTTTACTTTTATCCATCTATAAATTGAAAAATACATAAACAACTTTACTATCCTTATTGGCTTGTTGGTTAAGAGAAACTCTAAAAGCTTCAATGATTTTTGTGTGAGTCTTGGATGGTTTGGAGTGAGTAGTTATGCATTGGAAGACCTCGTGAAATACGATCCTAGGCACCCCCCCCCCCTCCTAGGATTTTTATAACTTTGATCTATACTGCATCACTATCCTTAGTTATTTGCTCTTTATTAGATAGGTGATGGCATTAAGTGAAAAAACGCATTAGCTAGCTAACTATTGTTCCTCTTGCATGTGGCGAAAGTTTGGTTTGAAATGATTTAGTACAAGGGATAGGGTTATTCAATATATGAATTATTGAGAGGCATGATGTGATTAAGAATTGAGATGCATGTTTATATTGAGTGATCATCTCTACTCAATAACGTAACTTTACTTGTCTGCTTTTATTTTTCCTTCCCTATAGAATACATATATATCTTTCATTGCTTTTGTGAGTTGAGATATGAAAGCTAGATGTGAGTAGTTATGCATTAGAATGCCTTTTGGAATACGATCCTAGACATTTTAAAGATATTTTACTTGATTGAATTTATCTATATTGATAAGACTACTACACGAAATGCACATCAAACTTTGACTATTAGTCAACCGTTGTGGTTGGCTATGTACGTGAGTTTTTTTACCTTTTGATTTGCAACCTTTTTGGATGCCTAGTTCTGATGTCTAACAATAAATAGGGTTTAATTGCAAGTTTGGTCACTCGAATTGCTACAAAATTTCATTGTTTATTTAATTTGACAAAATACAACTGGTAAATTAGTCGAGCATAAATATATGGTCATAAAAAAGGTTCTTATCATTTTATACTTTGTGCTATTGCAAGTTAACAAACATACCCTTCCAATGATATTTTTGCACAAACACACCCATTTATCATATAATGTAGCAAACTACCCTGACATAGTGACATCCAAAATTTTGTTTACACACCGTTAAAATGGGCAGGAATTGATCTAACTGGCACTTCCTTATTAAATACTTTCTTTTTCAGCCGAAATAAAAAAACATAGACAATTACTAGAAAGGATAAAAATTAAGTAAGAAAAAATAAATAAAATAATTTTTATCACTAAATGTAGCCTTTGTAATATACAAGGAGAACTTTGGTAATTTTTAATCCTTTAACGGTCAACTAACAAAATATTGTACGGAATTTTACATTTTGTTATCTTTTAGTATTATAGTGGTACGTTTGCAAAAGAAAAAAAGTACAGGATTATATTTGTTAATGTGTAATACAGTACTGTAATAGTACAAGAATATATAAAGAAACATAGAAAATAATAAAATGAATAGAAAAATAAAATTAAATAAGAAAAAATAATTTAATTAAATGATTTAAGTTTATATATAGAGGGAATTCTTTGGTTGTCAAAACAGAGAGGTTCTATCGGGTCTTTGCTGAATACTATTTGGAAAGAAAGATGCTTCACAAGTTTGTAGGTGAGGTTGACACTTTTGAAGTCTCATTTGCTCGTATTAGGAGTAAGGTTGAAATAGTAGTAGGAAAGGATGAAGTGACAAAATTTTGGGCAACTTAAAATGTCCCAAATTTTGCTCTTGACTATTGGAGTTTTTCCCCCTTCTTTCATATAGTCACTACTATAGTAATTCTGTACAAAGATGGCTTTGATTTTTTATTAGTGATTGTTTAGTCCACTCGTTTAACGAGCACTTCTACTATGCTATATGGTATTGGTGCTTTAATGTACAACTTGAAGTTGTACCATAACATTAAATGTACAAGTTTAGGTTGTACTATAAAGGAATTTGTATCATTATGTTATGGTACAACTTTACAAGTTGAAGTTGTACCATCACATAATGTACAAGTTTAAGTTGTATCATAAAAGAATTTGTACAAAAAGTATAGGTACAATCTGAAGTTGTACTATAACATTAAATGTACAATTTCAAGTTGTACCATAAAAGTAAAAACCTATAGCACCAATGTTATATAGCATTGTAAAATTCCTCCTCATTTAACATGCTCTCAATAGTACACTTCCTTTTGATGAAATCAATATACACATGATTCATAAATAAAAACATATGTAATGAGTGAGGGGCAATTTGTTCTTTTTCTATTTCTTCAACAGTCAACTAACGAAATTTTCAACAAAAAAGTACGTATGCTACATTTTAATAGTATAAGAATAGGTTTATAAAAAATAGAATAATATATTATTATTTTTAATATAAAATAATACTATTAACAAAAATGTTGATGCGTCAATTCCAAGGTTGCCATGCTAGTTTATGTGGTTGTGTCGGTTTAACAAGTTATATGGTTCGATTAAGCTACAATCAATTTATATATGTTTAACAAAATATGTAAAAATGTGAAAATTAATTGACATTAAATAAATTTAAGCATATATAGAATATATTTGAAGATATTCTACTTACAATCTACATTAATACTTAAATACAAAAACAACATTTCAAACAAAATAACAAATACACATTAAAATACAACATTTAATGTCGACACCGAAACATTTATACTTGAAGCGAACATATAACATCAACACATTTAACTTTCTATGAGATAAATCACAAATCAATTTTTTGTTTGTTAATTAAATTTATTAAAATACATCATTTTATTTAAAGATCGAAAATCAATCATACCAGTGATATTCCAATCAATTTGTTAACCGATGTCAATTATACCAGGTTTAACCAACCGGCATTCATAAATAAAAGAAATTAATATATCCTTTGAAATCTTAATTTTTTATACTTTTGTTTTTGTTATTGCACGCAAGTGTACCTCTTGGATGACAACAAAACCCGAACCCACGGGGACCCTATTCGACCCAACCCGGTCAATGCGGGTAAAACCCGTGTTGACGGGTTTTGGCGGGGTTCGGGTTCAAAACCGAATTGGGTTTGTGTTTAGGTTTACCCGACTTATGGATACCCGCCCACACTTATTTCGTCGCCCTACTCTCCCCAAACCCTACCTAATTCTAATTTCCCCTAATTTAACTCGCACGAGTCACGACACTCACGGTTTTGTTCCCTTTTTCCCAAAAGAAGTGAGACGGATAAATTAATAATTGAAGTTGAACACACTATGTTTGTTGATTTGCTGCTCTCTCGCAAACAAAAAGGGTATGAACGAAAAACTAAAAATTGTGTGCTTTTATTTAGTGTAATTGTGTATTTCTTAACAAAGAATTGTGATTTGCTTGAATTTTCTAGATTGTTGCTGAACAATTTGTATGGATAATTTGTGATTTGTTTGAATTTTCTATATTTTATGTATGGATAATTTGTATAGGGATATTGATATTTGTCTTTTATCTTGATAGGAACTTGTTATTGTAAATTTATTATCACAAAACTCATGGTACCCATGAACCCGCGAATACCCCGTAAATTAGGTTGAGTTTGAATTTTCCAAAACTAATGAGCTTTACCACGATTTTTTACGAATAAACACTGAGTTTGAGTTTGGATTTGACAAAACCCGACCCGACCCGACCCAACCCAACCCAACCCAACCCATTGTCCATCCCTATTCCTTATGTGTCTCGTTGCCTCCCCAATTTTCCCTTTCACCTCTCTTTCCACCTCCTTCCCGCTGTTTGTGTCCCTCCGTGTCGCCATTCCCGCTCTAAGAAGCTCCAAAGCTCCAGTGTTGCTACTCGTTCGGAGCTTCGAAATTTTCTTCCCGTTACCGGAAACCCGGCAATTTTTGTTTTTGTTTTTTTGGGGGGGATTACGCCAGGGTTTCTGGTCCTTCATAATCATTTCTCCCCTTCTTGTTGCCCGGCGGTGAATTTCGGCTTCTCTCTTTTTACCAAAGTCCTTCGGTTGCCAACACGATTTACCTTCTCCGGTAGTTGTTCGAGTAAGGTTGGTCCTCGATCTTTTCCATCCAGTGTATTGATTGATTTGCATGAGAACGATTCTTCAGTTTTCACTATTAACGACGAGTTTCAGGGTCCCCCGTCTGCTTCAGCCAGTGGTACTGGCAGTTGGAGGAAAATGCTCGATTCGTCTGCTTAGGGTTTTTGGTTTACGGAAGGTTTACTGTTTTACGAATACTAGACTCGCTGTGTGATTTTGCTTTGCGATTTCTCAATTTCCGCTCTTGCTTGGGTGGGTTTCTGTTGGTCTACGTTTCTGTTTCCTGCTCGGTTGGGTTTTCTTTTATGAATGTTGCTGCCATTTTCCTTTTCATTTATTTGGTTTTTGGCTTGAAAGTTTAATTCTTATGGTGTTTTCTCTTGTTCAGGTTAGTTTCAGGTCGACTGGGGTTTTCATCTTACTGCATCTTCTGGTTGTGGATCAGCAAGGCTCTCTTTGACTCCATCTTTGTGATCTCTGCTTACCGGCTTCATTTTGATGGTCTCTCTTGAACTGGTATGTTGATTTTGCATTTCCTGATATGTTGATGAGAATTGTGGTTATCCAGTTTGTGCCTAAATTTTCCCTGTCTTCTGCTGTTGTGCTGTGGACTCTTTTAATGTCAGTGCAGCTACTGAGGTGACGGGACCAATAGAACTTGTGAACTGCGCACTATCACTTAGGAACCTAGTTCGGACTAGCTGAGGGGTTTAGTGCTGAACCATGGAATGCAACAAAGAAGAGGCAGTAAGAGCAAGGGAACTTGCCGAGAAGAAAATGCAGGCCGGTGATTACACTGGGGGACGAAGGCTGGCACTAAAAGCTCAGCAACTCTATCCAGAGATTGAAAGCCTGTCCCAATTGTTAGTAGTTTGTGATGTCCACCTTTCTGCTGCTAACAAACTAAACGGTGTTGACATCGATTGGTATGCGATTCTCCAGATCGAACACTTCTCAGACGATGCTATCATCAGGAAGCAATACAAAAAGCTTGCATTTTCACTTCATCCGGACAGGAACAAGTGTCCTGGTGCAGAGGCTGCTTTCAAGCTCATTGGTGAAGCAAATAGGGTGCTTACTGACTCAATAAGCCGTTCTATTTTCGATTCAAAATGCAGAGTGGTAAGACCAGCCCCTCCCAAAGTAGCAGCAGCAAATCATATGAACAAAAATCCACCTAGTGGTTCTACTCATCAACCGGCTCAACCACAACATGTAGGATCACAATCTTATCCACAGCCACCACAACAAACGTTTTGGACCTGTTGCACATCTTGTAAGGTAAAGTTTCAGTATTATGCACACTTTAGGAATCGGATGCTGCGTTGTCAAAATTGCAATCAGACCTTTGTTGCACGTGATGTGATCAACATAGGCGGGCAACCACCTGGTTCCTCTTATTCTAATTCTGCCAGTCAGTCGCACAGATTCAGTAATGTTCATGGACATGGTAATGTTGGTCCACAAAGTAATGGTGGTGGCAGCTACACCTTTGCCGGTGTTGAGTTAAGACCTACTGGAAGAAAAGCTGCAGCTATTCGTGGGGATTCTAAAATGGGAGAGGCAAAAACAAATGTTTCCAATGGAAGAACTGGCAAACGATGTGCTGTTCGCAAGTGGGCTGCTGGAAAGCATGCAGGGGCTTCAGCACAAAAGCGGCCAAGTCCTTGTAAAGAGAATTCAGGTGGTGATGATGATTTTGTTGCTGCACCATCAAAAAGGTCAAGGGAGAAAAGACTGTCTGGCTTTTCTGAAAAGGAAATGAAGAAACCAAGTAATAGTGGTGGGGAACTGAACAGTGAGCATTCATCTGGTTCAGCTCCTACCGCGGCTGATGGGAGTAAGGAAGAAGCAGATAAAAAAGCTAGGCGTATTCTTGAAGCGAAGTTATTATTAAAAAAGACGAGTAGAAGTCAAAGTATTCAGGCAAAAGAAGACGAAGCTCATGTCTCTGAGAAGCAAGAGTCAAATGATCTAGATAATGGTAATGAACCTGAATCTGGAGAAGAAATTGCATGTCCTGATGTACAGTTCAGTGATTTCGACAAGGACAAGTCTGAGAATTGTTTTGATGTTAATCAAATGTGGGCTTTGTATGATGAAACTGATTCCATGCCCCGGTCCTATGCTCAGGTCAAGAAAATTTCCTTACCAGGTTTTAAGGTGCTGATTACTTGGCTGGATGCTTGTCCAAGTACTAAAGAAGAGAAAGATTGGAATGAAAGGGGTTTTCCAGTTTCTTGTGGTATGTTTGGTAAGGGCGACACTACTGTAATCAAACACCGTCAGATGTTTTCACATCAAATTCATTGCACAAGAGGAAAAGACAAGGACACTTTCTTAATCTACCCTAAGAAGGGCGAGACATGGGCGCTCTTTAAGGATTGGGATATGAAACTCGGCTCCAAACCAGAAAAGCATAATTGGCCAGACAGCTTCGACTTTGTCGAGATTGTCTCAGATTTTAGCGAGGAAGCTGGCATTGGGGTTGCTTGGCTCGTTAAAGTAGAAGGCTTTGTTAGCATCTTCCAGAGAGTTCACATTCATAAGGTCATCTCAGTTTGCATAAATCCCTCTGAATTGCAAAGATTTTCGCATCGCATTCCCTCACGCATGATGACTGGCAAAGAAGCAAAAGGTGTCCCTCCTGGGTCTTTTGAATTTGATACGGCTGCCTTGCCTAGCAGTCTTTATAGCTTCAATACGAAGGCAGATGAGGTACATTCTAGTAAGGGAGCAACTAGATCTTATTCACACTATAAAATGGAACCCACTAGATCCTCTCTGAAGACATGCTTACCAAATATGAGTGAGATTGATCCTCATAGACGTACCCTAGTTTGTGGGTTAGCTGCAAAACTGCCAGATGGTATACGGTTTAGAACTCCTGCTGCCAGTCACTTTGGAATCGAAAGAGATGTGGGTATTGCCCAACCCCAGAGGCCAAGTACTTCATTTCAGGCTGCGGAGAAGTTCATTCCTCAGGTGAAGTATAATAATATTGAACTCAGAGGACCTGTACCAATGCAAGGCAGAAGATCTTCCAAGGTCTCGAGCAAGGCAAATGTCAGTGGTGGTGGAAGAAATACAATCCCATCTGTTAGTGTAGAAGATCTCGATATGAATACTTCATCAGGCATTCGAGCGGATGATTCAGAAAGTATTGCAGAAACAACCCCTGCATCATCCGCATCCAAGCGGAAGATCGAAGTAGCAAAGCATAATTTCAAGGCTGAAAGGTCTGAAGATAAGTTCAAAAGCGGTCAGGTGTGGGCTGTTCGAAGTGATGAAGATACAATGCCGAAGAATTATGCTCTAGTGAAAAAAATTGAATCTTTCCCCTCTTATAGATTGCATGTGGCTTTACTCGAGCCCTTGTCTTCCTCGATTATCAAGAATCAATCTAGTAGTTGTGGAACGTATAGAGAAGGAAAAACTGTGGTGGTTCCTCTTGGCCAGTTTTCTCATCCGGTGCATGTTGAATCAATTGAGAAGAACAGGTACCAGATATACCCTAGAAAGGGCGAGATATGGGCAATATATGACAACTCAGAGTCTGATCGGGGTAATGGAGAATTCAGGATTGTGGAGGTGGTTGAAAGTAATGATAGTGCTGTAAAAGTTGTGACTTTGACTGCATTGAAGAAGTTTGCTGGGTTCGAGACGTTCTACAGAGGCCCCAAGAGTCGGAGAAGTGGCCATATGATGGAGATACCTCTTGCTGAGATCAGCCGATTTTCTCATCAATGCCTGGCATACTATCACAGAGACGTCCTGAGTGGATATTGGGAGCTCGACCCTTCGTCTATTCCCAGTCAAGTTATTCTTCTGGAATGAATTTGGGTTGGTGAATATGCTGAACTTGTTTTTGCTCTCCGGCATCTGAGGTTGCAGCACGCAGTTGAACGATGATAGACGAAGACACGAAGTTTGGATAACTGTCTTGTGTGAGCAGTCCGACTGAGAGGAGGGTTTACCATTTTGTTTATGTTGGTTTAACCTAAGTTAGGTGCTGTGGAACTTAGCTAGTAGCTTCTTTAGCTTAGTATTTAGTTGGATCTTCCTGACATTTTGGGATTCTCTCTACCGTTGTGCCTCTGTTTATTCTCTTCGTCCCTCCTTGTTCTTTCTGATGTTGTACTTTTCTCAGAAGGTCAAAAATATGTCTCTATTTTTTTTTTTCTGCCATTATGTCGTCCCTTTGCTTACATATGCAGGTAGCATATGTTTCTGATATTGGCTGTGGAAGAGTTCGCCTATTACTAGAACGAAACCTGAATTGGGAGCTAATGTTAGTATTATAATAGCATTTGTTCTAGTGGTATAATTCTCGTTTTAGGTGCGAGAGGTCCCGGGTTTGATTCTCGAAATGCTCCAGCTTCTTTGTTCTGTCACGGTTAGTTTTTTCTACGCTGCTAACTTCTACTCGTTTGTTAGTTGTCACTGCAACCGGGAAAGATGACTGGTGCTTTTACTCCTTTAGTTATTAATATTCTGCCATAGAAGGGGTGCTTTTACTCCTTTAAAAAATATAGATACATGCTACGCTCACCATTTTTTCATCTCCTTAATCGTTTCTGTAGGGGTGGAGCAGTACAACTACAAAGCCTTTACAAAAGAAGGGGGAAATGGGTTTCACCCTTTCTCTTGTAGCACAGGCGAGGCGACCAGAGCCAGAGGTAAAAAAAAAAAAAAAAAGGCAACCGGATAAGGTGCAGTTGCTGGTGGAAAACTTCCAAAGCAAGTGAAAAGGAACATGCTATTGCACAAATGGGGGCATTCCGAGAATAGAAGTTGGGATGTTACATTACATTTTTGTGTCATTTACCACTATAGACAAAATGCCCTTAGTTGTATCAAGTTTTCTTCTCAGTTTTGTGTGCATTTACCTCTCTCGGAAGATCAGCAACCAATTCTCAGTTGAGCCCAATCTCTTGTACTGTCTTAAAGTTTTAAGTCAATCTAAATTACGCCTCAAGAAATTACATTACTAGCGAATATAAATATGTCTTTGGATTTTACCGTTTTGTGTTATTTGTGTTAGAAAATGATATTTGGTACAAGAATATAAAGGATGATAAAAATTTAATATTCTCGTATCAATCATGTAATCATATTTCAATGTCGACACTTTTTATCTGGTCTTACTGAGAATAGTCTAGAACAGAGATTAGTCTGAACAGTAATATTTTGTGTCTATGAGGAATGGAAACGAAGCAAGAGATAGAGAGACTGAGGAGAACATTAGCTTCAAAAATGTATTTGAAAGTGAGACTCATTTAGGCTGAACCAATGACTAGAGCTGTCAATCGAGTGGGTTCGGGTTGGGTTCAATCGAGTTACGGGTTAGTCAAGTTTCGAGTTAATCGGGTTGCGGGTTCGTCGGGTTCGGGTTAGTCGGATCCAGGTTAGTTGGGTTACGGGTCAATTGGGTTACGAGTCAATTGGGTTGCGGGTCGGGCGGGTTGCGGGAGTTTCGGGTTGCGTGTTTTTGGATCAGCGCATTGAGTTACTTACATCCTACTCGTATATGCAATTTGCACAATTTATTAACCTATTTAAAAAAAAAAATCATAATTTTTAGACTATTTCTTTCCACATCGTATATGTAATATGTTATATGTACTTATTGAAGTTGAAAAAAATTGAACCATGTTGTATGACTTGCAAACTTGTCATGTAATTAATCGTAAATCGGTAAAGCACACTACTTAATAGTTATGGTGATATAAACATTTTTATTTTTTCATTCAATAGTCGTAACCCAACCACAAATCATATAGTGTATCATAAAAATATATAAGTAAAATTGTGGGGCGGAGAAAATCTAAAGTTGAGGGGAGGAAATGAGAAAATTTTTGTAGGGAAATCTAAATTGGAGGGGGGAGGGAATGAGGAAATTCTTGCAGTGAAATGTAAATTGAAGGGAGGAGGAAATGAGAAATTTTTTGGAGGGAAATCTAAATTGGGGAGGGGAAAGTGGGGAGAAATCTAATTTGTGTGGGAAAGTGGTGTAGTGAACTTTAATTATACATTTGGGGTTTTCAAAACTTATGTTTTTATTTATCTTAAAGTGAAAAATCATATTTTGATTTTCAGAACATAGACTAAAAAGTGATATTTGGTATACCCTAACCATATACCCGATACCCTAAACTATATATCTTTATGAGTTACGATTTTGCTGCTATAGTTAATTTAAAGTGAAATTCAGACTTTGATTTTCAAAACATAGATTAAAAAGGAATATTTGACATACCATAAACCATATACCTTATACCCAAACCATATAGCATTACGAGTTATGATTTGCTACTATAGTTCATTGAAAGTGAAATTCAGACTTTGATTTTCAAAACATAGATGAAAAAGGGATCTTTGCTATACCCTGAACATATACACTAAATATATACCATATACTATATACCTCATATCCTAACCATATATTCTTGTGAGTCATGATTTTGCTACTATTTAAAGTGAAAATCATATTTTGATTTTCAGAATATAGATTAAAAAAATTATATTTGGTGTACCCTAACTATATACCCTATACCCTAAAAGATTATCTGCAGCAACATTCTCGACTCCCTTCTTGTCCCGGATTTCGATATCAAATTCCTGTAGAAGTAGGATCCAGCGGATGAGCCTAGGCTTTGCATCAGCCTTGCTCATTAGGTAGCGAATTGCCGAGTGGTGAGTGTAGACCACCACATGGGAGATCACCAGATAGGGTCGGAATTATCAAATGCATACACCACAACGAGGAGCTCCTTCTCAGTGGTGGTGTAATTCTCCTGTGCATCGTTCAAGGTCTTTGACGCGTAGTAGATGGGCTAGAAGTGCTTCCCGCGTCTCTGACCCAGAACTGCTCCGACTGCATAGTCACTCGCATCGCACATAAGCTCAAAAGGGAGAGACCAGTCAGGAGTCACCATGATAGGTGCATGGGTAAGCTTCTCCTTCAGAGTCTCGAATGCAGCTGTGCACTCAGGAGTGAACTGGAATGGTGCATCCTTCTCCAGCAGCTTGGTCAGAGGCAGGGCAATCTTCAAGAAATCTTTAATGAAGCGCCAGTAAAAACCTGCATGACCTAGAAAGCTGTGAATTCCCTTCACAGAAAAGGGAGGAGGTAGCTTACTGATCGTCTCAATCTTCGCGCGATCAACCTCAATCCCCTGCTTGGAGATCTTGTGCCCGAGCAAAATCCCCTCATGGACAATAAAATGGCACTTCTCCCAGCTGAGTGCCAGACTAGTCTCCTCACACCTCTTCAGGACGAGTTCCAGGTTATGGAGACAATGAGTGAAGGAGTCTCCATAAACCGAGAAGTCATCCATGAAGACTTCCATGATCTCTCCGACCAGTCGGTCGAAGATCGCCATCATGCATCTCTGGAAGGTCGTCGGTGCATGTGGTCTTCGCCTGATCCTCTGGTGCAATAGGAATCTGGAAATAACCAGACATGCCATCCAGGAAGCAATAAAACTCATGACCAGCTAACCTCTCCAGCATCTGATCAATGAAAGGTAGGTTAAAATGATCTTTCCTGGTGGCGTCGTTCAGGCGCCGGTAATCGATGCAGACTCTCCAGCCGGTCACGATCCGCATCGGGATCAGCTCTTTCTTCTCATTCGGGACCATAGTCATCCCGCCTTTCTTTGGGACCACCTGAGTGGGGCTGATCCACTTGCTATCAGATATAGCAAAGATGATCCCTGCACCCATGAGCTTCACAATCTCTGCCCGGACCACTGCCTCCAAGTTAGAAGACAATCTCCGCTGCGCCTGCCTAACTGACTTAACTTCATCCTCCATCAGAATTCTGTGGGAGCAGAAGGATGGGCTAATGCCTCTGATATCTGTGATCTTCCATGCCATGGCCCGGGCATACTTCTGCAGCAGAGCCACCAGCCTGCTCTTCTGCTCGGGTGTCAGATCCGAGCTGATAATGATCGGGAGCTTATTCCCCTCCCGGAGAAATGCATACTCCAGGTGAGAGGGGAGGGACTTAAGCTCCAGCTCTGGTGGCTCCTCCAATGATGTAGCGATCTGGGGCGAGATAGGGATCGGCTTGAACGGTATCTCTCGCCCCTCGATCGCGGCCTCGTCTAGCTCCGCGAGCTGCTCCTCCAGCTGCGTGTCCTGTGATGCCTGTTCCCCTAGCAAAAAACAACGCTCTAGGAAATCTCAGTACCCGCACTCGTGATGGCGAGTGCGGTCTCAAAATCAGCAACAACATCACAGTAGTCTAGATCATCATGGAGCCGAGGGTGTTTCATATTATTAGAAATAGAGTAGGTGATTTGTTCACCCAGCTCGCAAAATTAATTTCCCATCATTCACATCAATGAGCGCCTTGGCGGTGGCGAGAAAAGGTCTACCCAATATTAATGGCACACCCACATCCTCATTTATGTCCAAAATCACAAAATCAACAAGATATGAGAATGGCCCTACTGCGACTATCAGGTCCTCTGCAATGCCCCTAGGATGCACAATGGATCTATCAGCAAGTTGAATGCTCATCCTAGTATCACTGGGTTCACCTAGGCCTAGCTTTTTAAACAGTTTATATGGCATGGCGTTTATGCTAGCGCCTAAATCCGCCAAGGACTTCCCTATATGCAAACTACCAATCATGCAAGGGATAGTGACACTCCCTGGGTCTTTTCGCTTCTCTGGTAGTTTGTTCTGCAGGATGGCAGAACACTCCTCGTTGAGCATCACCGTTGACAGCTCCCCAAGCTTCCTCTTTTTGGTGAGGAGATCCTTCATGAACTTGGCATACTTGGGCATCTTCGATAATGCCTCCACGAAGGGCAAGCTTATGTTTACCTGCTTCAGCATTGCCATGAACTTGGCAAACTCAGTCTCCAGTCGGTCTTTGTGCAACCGAGTAGGAAAGGGAAGCTGCGGTACATACTCCTTCACCACTGGTTGCGGTTTAGGACCAGGCACTTCAACCTCCTTCTCCATTTCCTCCTCATTAGCTGGAAGTGTCTGTCTCTCTTGTGCCCGAACAGGTGGATCAGCAGTCACCTTGCCACTCCTGATAGTGATGGCCTTGCATTGCTCATTTGGGTCCTGCAGATGAGGGATGGTCTGACCGGGTAGAGTACCAGGAGTCCTCTGAGCTACAGCCTGAGCAACAATTCCAAACTGGGTCTGGATATCCCGCAGCACAGCTTGCGTGTTTCTCTGACCAGCTTCTACCTCCATGAATTTACCTGAATCTTTCTCCATGAACTGCTCGATGTTATTGAACTTCTTTGCACTGGAGGAGGCCAGAGAACCCACCAGATCTCGCAATTCCGCCATCGGGTCACTCTGTACTGGGGCTGCAGGTGCTGCCCCTGTCTAATGAAATGGTTGCACCTGTGACTGAGGTGGAACTAGCCCCTGTCTGGGCGGGTAGAGAGGCTGCTGTGGCTGCTGAAATTGCCCTTGTTTTGGCTGGTAAGGAGGCCTCTGGAAGCCAGGTGGTCCCTGGGGGACTGGTGGTCTAGAATTTTCCCCACCCCAGGAGAAGTTGGGATGCTGGCGCCACCCCTCGTTGTAAGTGTTGTTGTAGGAGTCGAAGCGCCTGGCATTGCCGATGCGCAACTGATAGTGCCAGGAGAAACTGGAGTTCATCGGCAATCCTCCATGGTGTGATGAGAACTCTCACACCACTGGC